AAATATTCATACAATTTTCTTCCTTTGATCATAAAGGCTCGAAGATTAATTATTATCTATCACGTCACTTCACCCTTACAAAAATTAATTGAAATGAATCGAACTGCACATCTTTTGACGCACTACAAAAATGCCAGTCGTGTCGAAAATTTTAGATTTTTGTGAAATATACAGAATTCCAAAGTGGACTTACCAACTGCTCGTTCCCGAAGCTCGGATCTTGACAAATTGAACACATTTTCCTGGCTCCCATCGTCGTTGAAATAATAAGTCTCTATTTCGAGCGTAAAACGCTCCACAAACGGGCATTTGTACTTGGTTTTCGTATACGGATAAGCATTCCAAGCTTCTTCTTCCACAATCAGGGCTGATTTGGGCATTAAGCTCTTCAGCCAGCCTGGAATAAAAATGTGCAGTCCAAGTAAAGTTTCGCAAATCTTCGCAACAGCTCGATATTTTTTTTAGATATTTGGCCCAAATGTTTCGGAGTATCGCGAGATACGGAAATGAGAATTTCAAAAATGTGCACCTGGTAAATGGGATCCGATGTGATATATTTTCCTGGTGTATTGACCAGTTCCATTTGGCCCAGGTCCATCCGTATAAGGCTCATTCACCATGATTTCCACCCCGCTGCCAGCACCTTTGGATTCATCTCGACTTTTTTTCTACAAAAATTGATGAATAATTATGCTCTGAACACGATAGAGCCAATTAATCTGTCAACATTCATAATGTCTTAAAAATCGACGGTATTTCATTCTCGAGTTATTACTTCGACTCGAAATGTTCCTTTTTCCACCATTACTGTATTTAAAAACCGGGATCTTTCAAAATGTTAAGAAGTATGACGACATCGGTCTATACATAATTCCTTTTCCTCGGACGAATTTTCAATTCGCAAAAGACCTTTTCTTTCCCTCAATACTAATTCAGAAACCGGAAATCACCTAATAGATGCAAAAAAAAAAACCCGTGACTCGAATAATATCAACAGGTTCGCGCGGGACATACATACAAAGGAGAAACTAATATTTTGTTGAACGATGAATGACACAGCTTAGGATTTTAAAACGGTCTTACACAGTACTTATGACGTATTTAAATCATGTACAGTATTTGACTAGATCTATAAATTTTCCCCCAAATTTCTCAAACGCATATCACGCACCGAAAATGAAAGAAATAACTCACCGCTATCATGTACAGCTGAGCGATCTTATACTCGCTGACAGTCAGCGGCAACGGGATCCTGTATTCCTTTATGAGCATCGTATTACTTTCCCAAACTAACTACACTCCTCGC